TAAGTTCAGGGCTTAGGGTTTACGGCATAGGTCTTGTAGGGATTATGGCATATGGTTTGGACGGGCTTGTAGGCTCTAGCATTTAATTCTGTTTGGGTTGTATACGAGGTCCTATATGTTTTTTGCGTGAGTTGTATATCGGATTTCTTTGAGTTTATTGTATCTTCCAAGGTCTTATGGGGGGGGTGCTTATAATCGACCTGGAAAAGCATCAATTTGAGTTCTTAGCGCTCCTTTTGTTAACGATAGTATAAGATGGCACCCCCCCACATAGAGATTTTAGTGATTATGGCCCCTATAGTGCACCCGTATATTGGCCCTTGAAGGAACCCTTTAAGGATCGCTGTTCTAATCGCTAAGGCCCTGATATTCCAGATACGGTGTCCAGGTTAGCATGTTTAGTTCCTGCAAGGCCGGCCGAGATGAAAGAAGCCTCAACATGTTGTAAATCATGGTTTCCGCTCATATTATTACTACATCTCTCTCTGTCTCTCTCTCTCTCTCTCTCTCTATATATATATATATATATACATACACATAATGTATATGGTAATGCATGATGGAGAGGGGTGGCACCAAGGCATCGGGGCCTCCCCGAAGTTGAGGATCTAGAGTTTAGGGTTCAGCGACTAGGGGTTACGGATTAGGGATGAGGGTTTGTTAGGGATTGGAGTTCAGGATTTCCGGCTTGATGAGGGATGTAAGCTGTGAGGATCTGAGGGGCGAATCTGCAGAGCTGGCGCAATCTCCCCGAATCTAGCCGCCCAGTCTGCCGGTTTTGCTCATCTTTCTGGGTTTAGGGCTCGTTTAGGGTTCAGGGGTTCAGTATTTAGGGGCAAATGGTTTAGGGTCTGACCAAGGGATGCTTCTTAGAGCACAAGGATCCTGAATGCTTACAGGGCCTCTGAGTTTCGGGGGCTCCGAATTCGAGAATTTCCCAGATCCCAAAGCGTGCCCAACCCTGGTAGACCTCATGTCTCAATGTCCTTTCAAGGTGGTTGCTTCGATCTCAATTTGTCTTCCTACGCTCTATGGGGAGATGGCGGGTGCAGGCTGCGCCGAATCTGTTGCCACGAATGTCTAGGACTACGAGCATGAAAAGAAATTTAGACATCCTGGAGTGCTTTTGGCAGACTCCTTCCTTCGCTGTGCGCAGTAGCCGGCATCTTCAACCCTGAACCCCTCAAGCGCCTGCATCGCAGTCAACCCCAAATCCCTCAACTTTCTGCCCTAAACCCCCCCGAAGAGCCCCTGAACTGTCAACCCTTCATCTGACATCTCATCCACAGAATTTCCCCCAGGTTCCGAGTGGTTACTACAAGGGCGACTATACTAAGGGAGTGATTTCTTTAAAGGTTAAGCTTTAGGTTTGTGAGCGTAAGGGCTAATATGCAGGTGAACTCAGCCGCAAATGCAGAAGTCCGTGATAGTAATTGGTTATTTGAAGTACCATATGGTATATATAATATGATACAATGGTTAAGTGAAAGATATAAAGATGTAGATATAATTGTAACTGAAAATGGGCCAACACTCTTTTTGGGAATTCGGGGCCAAGGTGCCTTGCACTCCAACAACGTAACAGATCTCAATCCATCCCCGACGTCAGCTTTTGCACAGCAGCCCTTGAAACTGTTGGAGCAGTCACGAATGTATTGAACGTTTGTGATTCAAGCGTTCGCATTCAGTAGCACCCCCACCAGGACAACCAATTGGCGTGAAGCTGTGGAAAGTTTCTGGATGCCCTCACGACGCACCCGAAACCCCTAACCCCTAAACCCTGAAGCCCTAAACCCTCCTAGAGAGAATTCACAGTTTCAGACCCAACGCCAGACGGCATTCAAGGCTCCTCTTCCAGTGGTTCCGACCCGAAGCCTCAAACCCTCAATTAACTCTACGGCGGGAAGAAGGCCCGGTTATAAAGAACAAGACGAAAACGCATGGTCTCAGGAAGAGTAGTGATTGGAGATCGGCAGGTAGCGAGCAGATCCTGATGATTTCTCGGATTTGCTCCGTCTTCCTTTGCTTCGTGTACTTTTTCTTCTTGCCCCTTGGTCCGTTTATAGTAGCAGGCGAAGGCTTTCGGTCTTTAGAATTTAGGTATCCATGCACCATCTCCCATGTTCGGAGCTTTCGTCCGCATGACCCATACTTGAAACCCCACCCCAAGCAATGCACAGTCGGCTGTAATTTCCCATATCCCATCCAGATGACGCGACAGTGTCCTAGATCCTAAACCCCTAAGCCCGAAAGCCCACTTAACGTTACATCAGTGTCCAGTCGGTTCGTGGGGCCCGGGAGAGATCGCCATGTCCTGGAACTTGCTCAGAACACTCCTTGAAAGCTTCACCCCGATACAAAGGCCTGGGGAGGACTGCTCAACGGCCTTTCTCTTTAGTGCTCTTGCCTTTGCTACGATCAAGACCCCGAGAGATTATTAGACATGAGATTTTATTGTGCTTCTAAGCAGGATTAAGGACTTCTGTTTCGGAGCCTTTGTCTTGAAAGTCCCCTGGTTCTGAATGGGGTCCATGTATGTTATCCGACTCGTCTTTCGAAACTCCTACACTCCTACACGGTTGGAAACCCTTTGGGTGAGACTGTCCTGACAACTCGACCAAGTTCGGCATCCCATCCAGGTAGTAGAAGCCTGAATATCCACTAACATTGTCGCTTTTGGCTCCTTTGTAGTCAAATAAAGTGTATGGCTCATATCCCTTTTATTTCCTAAGCATATTCCTGTTGGGCCCTTTATATGACTATGGTATCGTACACTCCGAATCCCTATTCCGACTCGACTCCTCCGAGCTGTTGCCGTCTCCGAGGAATTCTCAGTACTGTAGAAATCTGAGTAGTTAGTATTCCTATTCCCTAACATTCCCTATCATCATTCGTACCGTATAGTAACAGTAAGAGTTACCCCCAAACCCATTGTGTTTAGTAAGGCCCCTACATTAGCGTGGAACAGCAGTGTCCTCAAGGCTCCTGTAGCCATGCACTCCCCTCCAAGGGAGCCTAACAGCTTCTAGGTTCTTCCAGCTCATCACGCACGCAAACCTCTTCGTGGATGAGGGAGAGGAGGAGGAAGAAGGCAGTCCAGGATTGGGTCCAGCGGGTGTCCTTTTACACAATGCCGCCTTAAAGATTAGATACGGTTCGTCTTGATGGTAATTAGGGTAGTTACACGATATTATGTTGGCACCCTCTTACAGGAAATACTGGCATAGCAATCCTTCAGTGCCCTACGTTATGCTGCACGTGATGTGATATCGCCGCTCTTTGCCGGCTAAACTACATGTCGTTACACACGTATCAATACTGCTAGTTTTGCTCCGCTTTGCTTCGCGAGTGGCGCTGTTTGGCGTCGTGTTTGCATCGTGCCAGGTGCTTTCGTCCTAAACTTTCACAGTTTTGCCAGACAGCGGTTGGAAGTATTCTACTCGTTGGCGATGCTTTTGCCATGACCCACTTGACCCACTGTGTATTGCCAAAACATGGTGCGTTCTAACAAAATTCACAGAGTAATGAGCTAAGTTGTTATTAAGCTACATCACGTGCAGAACGGGCAAGACATGACAAACGAAACAACAGTCGTGCAGGTGTACGAGTTTGTGTATCTTCTAACCACATATACCAATGTACATATGTATGTGTATATTTCGTAATCTAGCTATTTCGAATTCTTAGCTATGCATTCGTTTGTATAAATACATCTAGATATATACACATTAAAACAATACATACATACATACATACGTACATACATACATCCATACATACATACATGCATACATACATACATACATACATATGTATCCGTATATGTATATGCGCATACAAATGTCATTTCCTGTGCGTGGTCGTGTTGGCAGTTTTACATGTAATTCCTGCAGTCTATATTTTGGCCTGGAGATGTTAGCATGTTCAGATTTCGGGATCTCTTCAACACAATGCCATGTTTGTGTTTAATTATCGCTCGTCGCTCGTGCCCGGCTGCAGGTGCAGAAGCCAGTCTCTCCGTGGCAGGCTCTGCGACGTTGCTGTTGCTCCCTGGACCTGCATGCTTGAGCTGGTGGGTGAGATTTCAGTTGTCTGGATTCTGAATGTTAGTCCGCAGACTGACGCAAGTCAGGAGCTTCAACATCACATACTATGAAATGTGTTGTCTCGGCAGCCTTCATGGAGAGTCTGTATCTGCTGTAGTTGAACGCTCAGGTTCAACGCGCAAGGTTGTTGATATTTATTGCACATCTTCACCTGCATCTTCGTGAAGTCTTGCTGTTCAGGAAATAACTCCAGTCTTCAAAACAAAGCGTTTGCTGAAGACCCGACGCTAAGGCCCAATCCTTCTTTCGTGGCCGAGTTCCCTCAGTAGGCCTAATCGGGATTCCAGATCCGTCATCTTGTTCGCTAGCGTATGGTACGATGTCGCCTGGTATGATTCTAGGAACATAGAGCTTGATCCATAAACCAGAAGCCCGAGATAACCTATCTAAATTCAGAAATCCCACCTGAACCTAAAAGCTCCTGTAGTTCCCAAAACCCTTCATCCGACACCGGCCAACCCCGTAAGCGGAATCGGGTGATAAGGTATATTCTTCTTTACTCCAGCCCAAAAAAAGCATGGGGAGAGGTAGTCTCACGAAGGTTTCCCGCCTTGACATCAATATAGAGACTCTGTAATTAGAGGCCGGAACAATGCAGAATGATCCGGCTGAAGCCTGTTGTGCATGCACCCTCTGTTGTACATGTACAGGAAGCCATGGCCATGACATGCATGTGTTAACTGTATATATTTCCCGCTGCCGTAAGGGCCCTTGAGTCATATTCAGATAGCTTCGCAGTCGGCGAAAAGATCCACCAGTTTTCTCAAACTGGCAGCGGAGCCAGGTACCTCCGGGACCTGTATCTGCGCGGATCGCAGTAGCCTGTAGCCTGTGCTCAATACCTACCATTGCATACCTCCCTCTCAATTCTTTCCCTTCGAACTTTCGCCAAGCATGTCCGTGGCCGGTCTTCGGTACAGTCGCTCCACCTACTCGAGTACTCCCCTTGAGACTCGTAGCGGGAGCTACATATATGATGGCACCCCCAGTACGTTCCACGACTGGGAGTTTAGGACCTCTATGAGGCTTAAACTGTACGAGGATGCCATCAGGAGCAAACCTAAGAAGACCGTGGAGCCAGAAGAAGAAGGCAGTGACGATGAGAGCCGCATCGTGGAGCAGAGTCCGACTGCGGGAGCCACTGCCCCTGTACCTCCCGAGGACAGGCCCGACATAGATGCAGCCGAGGCAGCTGCAGCAGCCTCTGATGGTGGATCTCGCAGGAGACCATCTGCACCGAAGTCACCTGACTCGGTCACAGAACTGCCGGTTGCCGACGAAATGTCATCCTATGCGATTAAAGCACGAACCGAAATGGTGCATAAAGTGCTGGAAGGACTTCGGGACGAAGCCTTCGAACTCGCCCGGGATATCGGTATCGAATCCCTGACTGCCCCTGGTGGCCTCCGGGATTTCATCACCAAGTTGAGGAATGTCGTCTTCCCCCGTGCGACCGAAGAAGCTCGAGAGCTCTTCCGTGCGGGCCAAAAGCAAGGTGTCCTCGCACGCCAAGGTGGCGAGTCGATGCTGTCGTACGTCAGCCGACGACGACGCTGGTGGAAACTGCTCAAAACTCTCGACGCCAGCATCGAGCTTTCCGAGCCGATGCGCGTAGAATTGCTATTGGAGCTTTCCGGTTTGACTCGGCAAGAGTGCCTTGTCATTAAGGCATGCACCACTAGCAACCGGAGCTTTGAAGCAGTTGCTGCTACCCTAGTGGAGCACTACAGCGGCGTTCACCTGAAGGAAGGTCGTTCCTTAGGTGGCGGTACCTTTCAGGACCGCCGACCGCACCACCATCCTGGTGCCCGCCGCGGGAACCCTAAGGGCTACGGTAAGAACAGGTCTAAGGGTTTTAACCGTCGCGCCTACGTCGCTGAAGACGAGACGCAGTACTACGACGACGCGCCGCCGGACGACGGCGACGATGCCGAAGAGTACGACGACACCTCGTACCCCGCCTTTGGGGACGAGCCTGAGTACGATCCTCACTCCTACCCCGCCGGGGAGGAGGAAGAGGACCCGGGCTACGAGGAATTCGAGCTCGAGGAAGAAGAGGCAACTGCCCTTAACTGCCTCGAGGAGCTTGATCCCGAGGATGCAGACAGCGGCCATGTGATCCAATTGCAGCTTGCCGCGAACGCCGCATTCGGAAAAGCGAAGGGGCGTAAGGGCAAGGGCCGCAAAGGAAAAGGGAAAGGTAAGGTAGTGCGATCACACCTTACGCTCGACGAACGTCGCGAGAAAATGAAAAACCTGAAGGCACGGTCGAAATGCCTCAGGTGTGGAGCTATTGGTCACTGGGCAGGTGACCCCGAGTGCAAATTCCCTACCTCTAAAGGAGGGAAAGGGAAACCCCGGGCCCACATAGCAATTGTGGAGCCGCGACAGGACCCCGACGGGGGCCTGTACGTTCCCTCAGGGAACGATATGGACCCTAGTGGCCATATGGTGCGGGATCTAGGCGAACCCAGATCCAAGGCTGCCCCCTCACAACCATCTAGCTCAATGCAGATGGAGGGTGCCGACCGAAGATTTAATCTCGGTCAACACAAGGGCCAGACTTACGAGGAGGTATCCCGTAAGACTGAGTTCGTGCGCTGGGCCCTCGTCCAGCCGAGCCCTGCCGCGCACCTTAAGGATTTCCTCACCTGGTTTAATAGATATTATGTCATTCAGCAGGGCGTAGGAGGTCAATACTATCGCGAAACTCGTGCCTCGATAGGTATTCCTGAGGGAACCTATAACCCTCGCCCGAGGGGAAAGGGCGCGAAGAAGAAGACTCCACCGAATTCGCCCTTGGCGGAGAAGTGTAGCTCGTGCACGGAATTCTCCTACCAAGGGAGTTCCGCGAATTACGTCCGCAAGACCTGCAGGGACTGCGGCCATGTATCCCAAGAAAAACGGGAACATGTATATACCGTAGACCCCTCTGTATGCTCACACGAAGCAACAGACCATCGGGGTAGTTCGAGGACCACGTCCCGAACCTTCTGTAGAATGTGTGGCACTATCGTTGATGAAGTGCCGCAGGAGTTTCACCGAGAACGGAAGGCCGTCTCGGAACGCATCTTGGAAGCGACGGACCTCGCGCTTCCCCTGGTTCAAGCGGTTACCGCTGACGACGCGACCGCTGACCTCGACCCTGAGGCAGTGCTGCAGATCATGGGTTTATACCAAGATCGCATCAACCAGGCCATTGCGTTGGAGGAACGGATTCACCCAACAGGGCTTCACTTGTGGCTTAAGGAAGCAATCACCATGATAGTCGGGTCTAGTCCCATAAGTCCCTCCTGGGAGTTCGCCCCGACAGCAATGGTAGCCCGAGGGCGCAGCCCCGGGCGCAACAAAGGAAAGGGGAAGGCTAAGCAGCCTGTTCCAGCCGTTCCTGCTTCAGAGCCAGATCCAGCTCCAGAGCCTGAACCAGCCTCGAATACTCCGGAGCTGTACAACATCTCGGATCCCCTGGGGACCGATTCCGTTGTGCACAGCCAGGACCCGGATCTCGATCGCGATTATCGGGAAGCTATTCTAATAGAAAGCTTCAGGGCCGATGACGATCTGTACGACCCGTTCCCGGGTGGTTCGTCAGACGACGGATCGCCAGGATCCTACAATGTTGCTGAGCTGGACGATTATATCGCCAGGCAAGCTCAAGAGGATCTTGACGCAGCCTTTGAGCAGGCGCGCCAGCAGACTCAGAATGATGCCGAATCCGACAGTGTGACGCCTCCTGCCTCAGCGTCGGCGGCTCAGAACCGTCTGCAAGTGCGACACGTTCCCGGAAGGGAGATCATGCAGCTGGACTTCCAAGCACGCCAGCGACAGGGAACCGAACCGGTCCCTTGGTGGGAGGATCCTACAGAGCGAGACCTGGACCTCCAGAATCTCCCACGGCATGATGCCTGGAGACGCAGACGGGAGCAGATCCTGGCAGAGGGTTTCGCCAGGAGAAGAGAACTCGACGCACAGAGGCGCGAGGAGGAGTACAGAGAGGCCTGCGCTAAGGCAGGACCTGAGTACATCCGCGCCAAGTGGAAGGCGGAAGCCTCCTCGCCCCCACAGGGGAATGCTCAAGCATCCTCTCCGAGGAATGCCCAGGCATCCTCGTCGTCGAGCCAAAACCAAAATATCCCTAAGACCCCTAATCTAGTCGAGCCGACCCCTAAGGAAAACCCTAAGGGTGGTTCCGTAGATAGGTCGGTTGTATGGGAGGCAGACGCAGCACAAGCCTATGTGCAAGCTGAAGAGGAGCCCCGTGATCCTTACGTCACGAGGCCTAACCGCTTCACTGGACCCTCCCGGGCCAGTGCCTCCGCCTCTCGACAGGACCTGCCCGACAGTGGCAACTCAGCTTCGACCGCGGCGCCGGCGAGGACCACCGGGCAGGGCAAGGGAGCAGGGATAGAACCGAAACCTAGGTGGCTTAAGCGAGGTAAAGGTAGGGATCTCACCTTCAGAGCCAAGTCAACCTGCACCGCCCAAGGCCCTCTCTAAGGCGAAGGCTAAGGGGAAGGGCGATGGAAAACCTAAGGTTTTTCCTAGGAATATTGCAGGTGCAGGATCAGCTTCTGGTAGCGATCTAGTCCGAATTGACAACCTCCCCCTAGTAGACATGTGGGACCCGTTAGAGGCCCACGTATGGGGTGCCCTCGACGAAGGTTGCAATTCCACCTGCCATAGTGCATCCTGGGGAGCACTAGCCGAGAAGAGACTTAAGGCGCTAGGCCTAAGTTTCCCCTGGGTTGATTCTAGGAAAAAGTCGTTTGCGGGTTTAGGTGCAACATCCAACACACTTGGAAAACGTCGTTTGCCGTTCAGCATAGTCAAGGGAGACACAACCATTGGGGGTGTACTAGAATCTCACGAAGTAGACACCTCTGCCCGAAACCCCTTGCTGCTGAGCCTGTTTGCCCAAAGCACCTTAGGGCTTATTAAGGACATGAAAACATGTACCTGCATGATCCGCAACCAAGATGGCTCATTGTCACGGGTACCTCTTGGTAGGTGCCAGGAAACAGGACTACTTCTACTATGCTTAAGTACCTTTGAAGAGGACTTACCAGCCTGTGTTAGGGCACTTAGGACCCCTGGATGTAGGTCCATAGTCAGAGCTAGGCCTGCAGTGAGGGCCCCGGTTGCAGAAGATTCGGAAGCATCCCTGGAGATTGGTACCCTTAAGGGACCAATCGAGGGGTTGCTTGAGGAAGGTACCCGTAAGGGACCTTCTCCAACAGCCATGGTCCTTATCTCTCCAGTACCTGATACTGAAGGACTGGTTAATGGGTGTGCGGTTGGCCCTGAATCCTTCCATTTTGACAAGGCGTACGACCACTTCGGCGACGTCGTTATCTTGACTGGTGGAGCAAGATATCAATTTGATGCTCGAGGCAAGACCCGAGTAAGGATTCACAACCGTGACGGATGGGAGGATAGCTTTCCCCCATCGATTGCGAAGTCCCACAAGCTCTACCTGCACGACCTGAGGAAGCTTAACGATCCTCACGACGGAGAGTATGGTGGATGTGTGGGCAGACATCCGAAGATACTGGAGCAGATCTTCATGCCTGGAGCCACTGCACTCCTTTCGATGATCTTTAGAGACATCGAGGTGGCAGTGAAGTCGAGGACGCCGTGCATTATCTTGCCATTCTGCAACGGGAACAGACACCGCAGTGTCGCTATGGGGACCTGCGTGTCGGCCGGCCTGTATGCTTTGGGGATGAACCACTTTTTAGGTCATCTACACGCCTATGTATCCTGGGGGGACATGAAGTGCGGCGGCCATTGCGCCTGGTGCAGAGGACATTTTACACATGCCTCTGCGACTGAACTCGGGAATAAGGTCTTGGCGCATCTGGATCCCGCCATAACCAGCTATGCGCGCCACCCGGCGCAGGCAGAGAGGGATCGGCAGATGCGTCAGCCACCGCCGGATCCTGCCTCGCATAGCCTGCCACCTGCACCGAGTAGAAGGTCCTCGACCTCTATTGGCCCACCGGTTAGAACGGGGACCCCGAGGAATCCACCTAGTGGATCCTTAGGCAGGGCGCCGACTCCCAACAAGCAGCCGAAGAAGCAGGAGTCGGCAGGACCGTCTACGACCACAACCCCTGGGTCGGCATCCGGAGGTGCGCCGCCACCGCCACCGCCGAATCCGACTCAGGATCGGTCACCGCGTGGACCCCCTCGTGGGCCACCGAGGCGTTCCGAAGAGGGTGGTACCCCTAGTGGACCTCCCAATCCACAGGCATCTGGACGATCCGCTGACCTTGACTGGCGCGATCGTGCAGTGCGTGCGGAAGCCCTCCTTCTAGATCGTCTTCAGAAGGAAAACCAAGAGCTGAGGGACCGCCAAGCGGCCCTCGAGTTGAACATTCTCGAGCTGCAAGCCGAGAATAAAGAACTCTATGGGAAAGCATGTGTTGCCGACGATTGGAACCAGTGGTTTGAGCAGCAACAACAGGCGGGGTATCTAACAGGATACCACCGCACTCCTGCACAGAGTCCTTCTGGCAGGCGCACCCCTGCACAGAGCCCCTCTGGCAGGCGATCTACCCAGCGAGGGAGATCGAGATCCACCGGCAGCTACATCTCGAGGAGCTCGACACCGAGATCAAGATCTGAAAGGCTGGA